AGTTAAATTAGAGATGTTATCTCATCTTATTCATTCAAAGTCACGGTATCTTGTCATTATTTTTGTAGTTTGGGTTAAAAGTCCTTCCTTTCAACAAGCAATTTCATCTCTTCTCTTCAAGATCTTCCCTCATTTTTCTTCTCTCAATCATTCCAATTATACATTAATCAGTCTTCTCTATCCAAACATATTTACGATTCAATTAATCTATTACGTCAACTGAGCCAACATTGACTATCACTGACTTTTAACCCGAGACATTTGATATTGAAATGGCAACGGGTGACCAACCAATAAAGTGTGCAAAGTAAAATCAATAGCTAAAGAAGAAAAGAAAAAAACGAAAATTTCAATCTCTATATCTGATCAACTCCTCAATTACCGTATCGACGAACATTAAGGTCCAGTGCTTATATTTGACTGTGTCTTGATGTTCTTACGGTACTCGATTTATACCAGCATTTCCGTGAAAGACTGAAAATTTCTCAAATCTTTCACCTTTTTCCTTCTTTAATAGTTATGCAAAGGTAAAAGTATCGATTACAAATTGAATGGCTGGGAGTGAAAACTTTTCTTACCTTGCAATGAAAACCTTTTCGGCAACATTTTATTGCTCTAAACTTGTGCAAATTAATCATATATATTTGATCATTTTACATGGAAATTGACTTCCCTGTTTACTTGAAATTTTTTCCCTTCTATTCCAATCTATTCACAATTTCATCTCATATTTTCTTCTTTCTATCATCCAATCCCTTCCTCATCATTTCAGGAAGTTATTCAATTTCCTTTATTTTTCTTTCTCTTTTTTTAAGGCAAAGATAAGCCAAACTCATTCTTTTCTTTTTCCATAATTTTAGAACTTTTTCATTTTAAAAAATGTTTCTCCATGAAAGAAAAAGGAAAAACAAAGAGAATAAATAAAGCTGAATATTGAGCGAAAAGACAAAATTGAATAATCTTTACTCAATGGAAACATAAACAATTACGAACCAATTTCAAGTCAATTTTTCATTCCAAAGTCATTAACATGATGCAATGTAGACTTTGGACGAAATTTCAATTGTCATTTTCGAGTCAAAATTAAATTGATAAATGTGCTGAGTAAAGTTGTAAGCGTGATAAAGATGCTTTTCTTTCATGTTAATGATGAAGAGCAAGATTAATACTCAGAGTGAGTCTAGTAAGCTGAATTGATTGACAAAATCATGCAATGAAATTGAGTCAAGTGAGCATTTTAAGAGGAAAGGAGATTTGAGTTGGCGAAAAGATAAAAAATGAGAGAATGATGATGAGAAGAAGAAAAAAGATGAACAATAAGTTGAATCACGATACTTCTAATCTGAGACAGTACATCTAATTCAATTACGGATGCACATTGAAGCTTCTTTATAAGCCAATCAATCTTGCTGTTATTACCCTGGATTGAAACGGATAAATAAGATTCAACATTGTGCCTGTCAGAATCTATTCAAGTTTCTCCTTGTTGCTAACGAGAAAAGGTTGGAGAAGCAAAAAAGGGAAAAGAGAAAAGGTTGAGCAAAGAAAAATTGAACATTTTTTTTCTTCTCTTTTTTATCTTCTCTCTCTCTCTTCACTTTTCGCCCTTGCTCATTCTTCCATTCATCATGAATCATGTTGACATTTTTAGATAACTCATGATTATTACATGTAGTATTCAAAAATTAAGTGTTTAAAATGATAAAGAGAAATGGTACAAATTATTCTCCTCTTTCTTTATTCTGTCTACTTTCCAGTCTTGACAAATACATTTCTTATTCTTAACAATGGCCAGAAGGGGTTAAAACAAACTCTTTGTTTCAACAAATGGATTACTGACAATTGTGAGTTGAAATTTTGGCTCCAATTTGGTGACTTGAAAATGAAGGAAAATGGTTCTTCTTCAATTGGACTTAGTGATTAATCAATTATCAATTCAACTAAATTTTAGTTGATTCAATGGAAAATATTGTTCAGCAAATTTTTAGCGAATGTTATAAAATGGCCAAAATTATAATACATGAAATATCAATGTTAACAAGCAAATCAGACGAAATTGCTTTCCTCTTTTTCCTCTTGCATTTGGCTTAATCTTGCCATTTCTCAAACTTGAAAAGATTTAATAACCTGTGAAAAAGTTCTGTGTCTGTATTCATGGTTATCGTTGTTCAAATCTTTTCAGGTAAAGAAGAGATTAAATTGCAACAAAAAATGGATGAAACTAAAAGCTGTTCTTGTGATGTGACTTGGTTTCTTTTTTCATCAGCTTTTTTTTCTCTCTTCGAGCTTGTGCCATTTCAAGTTGATTTTATCGATTGGCAATGAGAAAAGTCATCATTCAAAGTGAATCAGTTATGAAAAATGAAGTACTTGCTATAGTTTAAAGATGAGCTGAAAGTGAAATTGTGTTTTAATCTGTGATTAATGAGTTCTTCGACCTTAACAGTCAACTTAATAAATCTGCTGATATCGAAGGTTAATTTTTTTGCCTTCCTAAACGCAATTCAATGTTTTTAGGATAAACTGCTCTGTTGTACAGGACTAGTAAATAACTTGAAACAGTCGGCTTATTGAAAAATGAAACTCAGTAAATAGCTTCCCTGGGATTCACTGTTGAAACCAATTTAATCAACTAACAGAGTAACAGTTAGGTTAACGAATCCAATCCTTTTGCATGTTGACCAAGCAACACTCAATTTGCTAGAGTAAACTAATCGATTCTCAAATCATGTTTGTATTCATTTACATTTTCATCCTTTCATTTTGCATTATTATTCCAGCAAGCTGATTGATTATCGTATTCAAAGACTGTATCGATTAACATTTCTTTGTCATTAAACAGGAAAAATCGTTTAAAAAAGATGGACTTTTTCCGGTAGATTGTATTTAAGTCATAATTGTCTGAGAAGTTCAGTAAGATGTGTAAGATCAGTTCACCTGTTTGACTTCATGTCATTCCAAAAGAAATTCGATTTTTAATCGATAATGAATAAAAACAATCTAATAATCGATTTTTCTACTATAACTGATTGCATCGATTTTAACAATTATTTTCGAACAATCGAAGAAAATCGATTGAAAAATCGCTAAGAAATGATTGCTGAAATAGAGTCATAGATCTTTATTGATGACTGTCAATATCAAATTCAATTAAGATTTCCAAGAAAATGGCCTTTCGTTGTAGTCGAAATGTTCTTTATTGGATCAGTTTTTTAGATTTAGAAACAAGAAACTTCGAAAAAAATTGATAGCTACAATGACTTTACCCAAGAGCACCATCTGTTCATTTTGCATTACTGCAAAGAGACTTTCGATCGATTCTGAAACAGAGTCGTTTAACAGACTTCATCAAGGTTTAGTAACGACGGATATACTTTCGAAAACACGTCATCGGCAGAACTTGGGTCCTTACTAAAAAAGTACCAGAAATTCAAATATCAGGTCGAAAAGTTGCACATGTGCAGTAGAAAAAAAGTTATAAATACAAACATTTAGTTGTGTTTTGCAGTATTTTCCATTGATTTAACATTGAAAAGACTGTAAAAAATTAGCTAAGAACATATACAGATAAAAAACCGATGAAAAGTCTCAGAACCTGACCTAACCTAACTTATGAAAATATATACAATAATGTTATATCACTTTATGCCAGGCTAGGCTAGTTTCGGAGACACAAGTTCTGGTGACTGTCCGCCTATGCAACGTTTTCGGAAGTTCAGCCGTAACGACAAAAGTTGATTTGATAGTTGAGTTGATCTCTCTTTGATGGTTGCCTAACTTGAATGGATACAAGACTTGCGAGTTGATTTCAATCAAAGCAAAGGATTGAAAGAGCACATTTTCATGATGAAATCGGACAGATAAAAAAGGCCATTTCCTAACTGAAATAGAAATTTACAATTGAATGATAATTTTTCTTTGATTTCTGTTCACTTTCGATTCTCAAATATGCACACCTATTATTACCAATATCAATAGCATTGCCATTATTAATGCAATAATGGTTTGTCGGTTCAACTTTCCGTTGATCTTGTTGTTCCTTACCTTTTGCTTACCTCGATATCAACATTTTACTTTTGGCCAACTTATTCTATCTCTTCTTGATTTGTGCAAATTGTCAAGAGACTTACAAGGAAATGAATGTAACTTCTGAATAAGAATGGCCTATTCAAATGATTCCCATGAATAAAGGGAGAAAAAGAATAAAAAAACAAGATGAAAGAAGAGAAAAAAATGTACTCGGAAAAGTGGAATGAAAATGAGACAAAAGGAAAAGACCAGAGAATCAGAAAATAGGAATGAAATGAGATTATACATTTTTTCTTGTTTCCTATTCGTATTCACCATCTTATTCGTTTGTTTCAAGATTCAGATAAATTACATTGAAAATGTGTATCCACCAAGAAGTGGAATGATTCAAGACGAAAGAAAAGGAGAGCAAAAAAATTGACGAGATGAAGAATGAGAATCATTGGAATGGAAAGTCTGATTGAATTTTTTTTCTTCTTTTCTTCTTCTTCTTCTCTTGTTTTTCGTTCTCGAATGAAATGTTCAAGAAGAGCAAAAAGTATAAAGAAGATGAAAAAGTGAAAATTGAGTGCAAGACTAGCTTCTTCAAGATGTGATGATAAAAGATGAATATCTTTTTCTTATTAACTATTCCATCTCATTTTGCTTTTCATTCCATCAAACTCAACATTTCCATGATATTTACATGATAAGAGAAAGAAAAATATTGTTGATATTTCTTCTCATCATGTTTATCTTTGCTCGTGATTAAAATCACTGAATATTCATTCTTATCTTTATTCATTTTCAACAAAAATCAAGTCAACATTTCGATTCAATCTCATTATTCACTTAGTTTATCGACAAGTTTCATTATTCAATTTCATGATAAAAAAAGTCAAATTCTATTCACCATTTGATTTTCAAATTTTCATTTCCAAACAGAATGAAAGAACGAGAAAAAAAGAGACAAAAAAAGTTCTGAAGCTTACCTTGAAATGAACATTTTAATGGTAAATCCATATTGAATCACAAAATTGATCAACTGATGAAAAACGGAAAATCTGAGAGAAAAAAGAAATTCTTTTTAGAGTAAAGTTGAATTTTGAGTTGAAAATGCAATCGAAAGTTGAAATTGTTGATTAACTGGAATGTCGAGTTGCCATTAAATATGACAAAAGACATTAACATGAGAAAAGGCAAAGTGATAAATGAATGCACATGTCAAGAAGATAATGAGAAAGAATGTTGACTTAAAAGGTAAAGAAGATGCCAACATGAAAATTATGGTGAAGCCCAATTGGACCATTATCTGTCAAACACAGTCTTCACTGAATAAATAGTACATGAATATATTTGACGGTTATTCATGTTTACCCTGAGCCAAGATATTTATTAATATCACGATATAATACACAACTTTCAACTGTTAAATTGCATTGGGTAATCAGACATGAATCACTAGAAATGATAGCCTCAAGTCACAAACAGTTGTTGGCCAACTTTTCTTTACCCTCTTCATCTTCATCATTATCATTCTTGTTCGTTGTTTCACCTCCCTGTCTCAGTCTCGTCAGGGAAGTTCTTGTTTTCGCCTTCTTCTGTTCCACTTTAAGGTGAGCTTGCATTGTTGCTACTTTGCTGCATATGTTGATGGACAATTGTTGAAGACAAAAGATTGACCCATTCAAATGTCAAATTAAATGGTCAACTTAGGGTCGCTCTGTTTACTTCTGTTTACATCTTTATTCAACGTTTAATTTATTTCCATGGTAAGCTCACCTTGAGCCTTGGTATTCATTCTGACACATTTATAACACTCTATCTTGTTGCTTCCCTTTTCCACTTGCTTTCACTTTCTTTGCCTTGACTCACATATGGAATCCCCTGAAGGATAGTCAACATCATTCCCATCACACACACTTGACACAGCATTCTGTGCTCTTCGCTATTTGTGATTTTCCTTTTTTTCGCCCTCAAATCAGCTAAATCTTTCTTTCATTGATGATTAATTTGCTGACGAAATTTTCGCTGGAAATTTTCCCTTTTGTAGTTTTTCGAACAAAATTGAACAGTTAATGATAGTAATTTGATAGACTCGAGATTGCCTCCAAGCTCACCTCGCGACCCGGTCAATTCATTTATCATCGAAAAAAATCCAAATCTTGCATTTCAAGATTCGAGATATTTCGAGATAGAGTTAAATCAAATTCGAAGGGATTTTAAAATTACACTTGGAACACTTCACAGCGAAGAATTTTGCTGAAATAAAATTCCAATATGCGATTCAAGATCGACTTTTTTCGAAAAGAAGGATTAAACGATGATGAAAGACGATCCGAACTTTCTCAGCTCAAGATCTACTGTTGGCGACATTCAAACTCATCTTGATAGCATCGAGAAACAGACTTGACTTAATCTCCATTCCTTTGTTCAAATGATCAGAATCGAAAGTTGAATCGAAAAAATATTAATCTAAAAAGTCTCAATTCACAGATGAGCCGAGTTGGAATTTGACAGTCACAGAGTCTCAATTGAACCAATCAATAATGAATCAAAATTTTCTATCAATTCTGGTCATGGTAAAGATTAAATGTAAATTTAATCAAAATCGAGTTTGACCGTTTCACGGTGAAAACAAGAAAATAAGAAAAGTGTAAATTATACGAAACTTGGTCAGTATGAAAGGTTGAAACTTGAAGAGGAAAGACAATGAATGTTGGATTGTTAAAAGAGTTATCAGAGTTACTATTTCATTACAATAATCCAAAAGCTGGGAGTGAAAAGTAATTTATCATTATTATAGTCTAAATTGTGTTCAACATGAAATTGTGTGTGTTGCTAGGAAAAGTTCAATAATTGATTGAATAGAGCTGAATAATGTTCCCTTTGGTTACAAATAAAAATATTGTTGCAACAAATGATTGAACAGAAAAAAAAGTATTCATTATTATGTATTTGTTGAAACAATTGGAACCACTACTTTTACCATAACCAAACATTGAAATGATAAACTCGAGCGACAAGCAAACCTGCTTTTATTGAATGGATCGATGAAGGAGAAGGAAAAGGTGAACAAACAAAACTTGAAATATTGAACCTTTGATGGCGATAAAAACAACTGGTCAATCATTAATTTGCCTTTTCTTTTGTTAACATTTATTCCACACACTTGGAGGTTGAACAAAACACACAACAAATCAATATTAGCATTCATTTTTCAGTTCATTTCAACTTTTCATTGTTCAATCATTTTCGCCATTCATTCACCAGTCAAACTAAAACACTGAGTTACTGGTCATGTGGACCACCATTGAAACTTGAAGATGTTTTCGCTCAACAGTCAATTTGTCAGAGAGAAACAATTGAGAATTCAATTTTTACTATCTTTGTCACATGAACTTGAGCTCAGTTAATGAAAATATGAAAAGGTTTTCATGGAAAGAAATCTTAACAAGAAATTTTAACAAGAAATTCAAATTTTCCTTTCAATGTTCGAGTTATTATAAGCTGAAAGAAACACTTTTTTAATGAGAAAATCAGAGTTTTCCAAGCTTTTTGAATTATAAAGAAAATGCAAAAATGGAAAAATATTGCAAGCAAAGCCATGGAGGAATCATCTTATGCTAATGAAATTAGCTCAACTTTGTTAGCTTTTTGTTTCAAGTTAATAATCTCACCTTTGATTTTGCTTTTGCTTCATGAAATGTTGAATGAAAAGTATGCAAATTACTTGACGAACTTTTTTTGCTAACTGTTCATATCTTTCTTCGTTTTATTTTCAATTCCCTTCGCTTTTGGGTCAATCTTTTTGTCTTTTATTAAATATCCTCAGTGCGCATTTCAAAATGATTATTCAGATTAAAATGAAAGATTATCATTAGATGTTATTTTGATGTAAAGCAAGACTGGAACATGGAAACTGGAAAATGTAATACTTTTAGTTTGAATCGAGAATCGATAGCTAATTACATTAAAAATAATAATTGATCGACTTACATGAAGAAACCATTTGGATGAGAATATCCGGAATTAAGAATTATTGAGTCGATAAAAGACTTCAGTCATTGACATAAGAATACTTGACTAAAGGTTGAATAAACGATGGACCTTCATAACCAAGAAGCTCCAAATTTTCCATATTTCCATTCAATAAAAGTGACTCTTTGAATATAAAAATTTTGCTCTAATTTCATGAGCACAATAAACTCAACAATGCTTATGAATGTTTCCGAGTAAAGAATGGTATTATAAGGAAAAAAACATTTTCCAACGACTTTTCATTCTTTTATTCAAACATTTTACTTTTATATTTTTATTGATTCAAATCAATTGGCCAAGACAATTGATTGTTTTCTGTCTTTCAATTGTTGAACAATAAATAGCTAAATAATTACCTTCAAGTTAAAGTGAAAAGGTAATCATGATTGCAAGTGTTAACCGAAGGGAAAAGTGATTTCAAGTGAAAATAGATTCCACTGACTGGTAGCAGTAAAGAGCCAAGTTTAACCTGTTTAAGTGACTTTGCCTGACTACTTGTTTTAATGAATTAATTAGATGAACCTGAATACAAGTCAATTTGAATGAGCACTTTCAATTGATTTAACCAGAACCTTTGGTACAAAGTGTAAAGTAAAAGAAGAGGAGAAAATTTGAAGGAGAAAGACTTTTTGAGGTAAAGTTGAATTAATCCAAGTCTGTCTAATAACTAGCAAAACTGACCAAAGTGTTCAACTCAGTGAATCATGATCAGATTCAGATGATGACGACATTACATGGAAAGGAGGGAAAAGGGAACAAAAAAAAGAGTTCCACTAATGGCCATTAGTTTCTTCCTTTCTCCCACTCATCGTCTTTATCTTTTACTTTTTTCCGCTTTTTATGCTAAATGAAACCATTCTGTTTCTGATGATTATGATTTCAGTTTGCTCATCCTCATCACAGTCAGCATCATCTTTTTTTCATTCACTTTCTTTCTCTTCACACAGATCTTCTTCGGTTGAACAAACAAAACGCTTCTCTTTGCCTCTTGCATTTCATATTCACGTTGAGAGTTTTTTTGTCTCATCTCTTCGAGTCTTCCTTTACAAACTTTTTTTTACTTAATTCGTCTGAATGACAAGTGAAGGAGGAGGAAGAAGAAAAGAAGATGAGATGAAAAAAGAGAAGACGAATAAGAAAAAAATACTAAAGATGATAAGAGATGAGGAAAAGAGTGAAAGAAAAGGCAAAAAATGGATTCTTCCCATTTCATCCTCTAATTAGGTAGCTGATACAATTAGAAGAATCCAGGGGCGGAGTGGAAAAAGGAAGATGAAAATGTTGATGAAAGTGAACATTTGTGTGTGAAGAGGTAGAAAGTGAAATGTTTGGTGGACAGAAAAAGTAAGATGATGATGGAGAAGGAATTAAAGGCATGATGAAAAACAAAAGAAGCAAATGTAATATCAAGAGGGAATGAAATTTTGTTGTTAGATAACTGAAAGGGAATGAGGAGAAGAAGAAGAAACAAAATAGCAAAGCATCTCTGGGAATGTTACAGACGGAAAAGTAAGTGTATAATCTTGCAAGAAATAAAAAGCAACAAAAGAATGAAAAGATTTTTTTTTCCTTCTTTTTTATTCCTTTTCCTTTTTCCTTTCCTTTCATTTCTTGAAACAACTTTTCATTTCTCTCATCACTTTCCCGATCTTTTCTGACACTCTTTTTATTGCCAATATTCAATAGGTTAAAAGTGACAAGTGCTAAAGAACTGCGTAAATGTGCCAATGTGCTCAAGAGGAAACGTGTCAAAGGAAATTTGTTTTATGGAAAACTCGAATTTTCAATATTCGTTGGTGTTTTCGTTCAACTTAGGGGCAGTTGAACTGTCAAGACAAATTTTAGTAAAAATGTCGCCAAAATTGTTATTAAAGATAAAAAGATGAAGACCAAAAGAATAGGGTAAACTACTTATCTAGCAATATTTTTGTTATGATCATATAAGAGCCAAAATTTTATGCTAAATTCAATTTTGCTCAATTTTTCGAAATAATTTTCGTTTTCGAGAAAACGTGAAAAAACATTAAAAATGCATGGGGACAGGCTTCACAGGAACAAAAGGTGAAATCAAGCTAGCAACAGATTTTCAGATGTAGAATCCAATGCTAATTTTTATAGAGTGATTAATTTGGGGCTGTAAGTCCGCAAAACTGGCCATTTTTCCGATGATTGAATTATTTCTCCGTTATTTAAAATACAGACCAATAACCAATATTTTCGATAATTTGATTATTGTGAAGATATTTTGCGAAAATGACCAGTTTTGAAGGGTGACAGATCAAAATGAACCACTCCACGGAAATCAAAATTGAATTTTACATCTGAAAAATCTTCTAGCTTGGTTTCACCTTTGGTTATTGATCCATATATTCAACAACGTAGAAATAATCAGATTATCGAAAAAAATGTCCACTTTTTTGGGCTGGCAGAACAAAATAAATCATTTCATTGGAATCAAAATTGAATTCTACATCTGAAAATCTATTCCTAGCGTGGTTAGTGTGGTACTTTTTCCATGCATTTCTAACGTTCTTTCATGATATCTCGAAAAGGAAAAATTATTCCGAAAAATGGATTGGCTAAATGAAATCGATATAAAATTGTGCATCATTTGACTTCATAACGAAAAATTTCTTTCCAGGCAGTTTTGGCATTCCTCTGATAATTTGTGACGTCACAAATTTTACAACGATTTACAATTTTTATCCACATTTATGTCATGCGCTTGCATTGAAAGCTTATCAAAAAATTTCATCTTAAAATTTCATTTGACTAAAAAATGAGCATTGGAATACGTTTTTAGACAACACTTTAATCAAAATAGGTGTTTAATCTAAATAATTGCTCGAACTGCGTCTTAAACGATATGTTTTCTGAATAAATTAATGGTAAGATTATAATGAATGTCTTGTTTCTTATACTTTTTGTCTTTTCTTTCTTTTTACCTTTTTTGTCTCTGTCTATCTCTTGAGATGTTTCTCATTCCGTCTCAATTGATGTCTCATCTGAACACATTAAAAGTAACAACAAAAGTGTAACTTTTATCTTAATAATGATAAAGCTTTTGTCCTGATAATGATGTACATTAAATTGTTTTTTGCTTTCTTTTTTGCTCTCTCATGCTAATAATGATCATGATAAGTGTCAACTCTTGAGAGGCAAAAGAAACAAAATTCACTAAGATATTGTAACATTGTTAGCAATTAATTTTCCTTCCCTTTGGATTCCCTTTAATCAAAAGCTCAATTCAATGCATCCATACGAAAAGCTTAACCTTTCAACATTTCGCTTCACTTTTTTTTCAATTTCTGGTTCTTCTCAAGTGTGTCAATTGTTTCAATCAATTTCAACTTATAATCACAAATCAATTTTTCCCTTTTATCAATTTCGAAATTTCAAAATCAACGTTCTGAAATGAGCAGAAATTCCAATTTCGCCAAAGAAATGTTCGCATGAAAATTGCCATGCAAGAATGGACAAGAAACAAGAAACTGGACATTTCCAAAACAAGAATTTGAAATCGAAATTGAAGCAAAGAGGGAAAAAAATTTCTTACCTTTTGTTGTAAAGAAATAGATTCGTCGTAAAGTCCAGTTTAACAAGTGGGTTTACACGTCAATGGTCCAGTTAAACAACACTAATAGTCACTCGTCCAATATCAACTTTCCATTGGAATATATTGAAGAATGAAGAGAAAAATCATTTTCATCATTTTCCATTTTTTTGAAATTTGAAATTTTCTCCATTTTTTGCTTTTTTCCAACAATTTCAAGTAAATAAGTTTAATGTAAAGTTCATTAAAGATGATTAATATGATGATAAAGAGATGCAAAAAGGTCACAAATTGTTCAATGATGAGAGAAGCTGTGAGTGAGGAAAAAGAAGGAAAGGGAAAAATGTTCACTTCTTTTCCCATTTTGTTTCATTAAAAGCACTTTTGGGTTTGAAATTGATGCTGTTCAATGTAAAGGTGAAAGCAAAATACTTTACAAACCAAACAATACCAACTCAAGCCACTCTCATGGCGAGCATGCTCATCATCTTGATCATCTCTTTCTCTTTTTCTCTGTCTTACTATTAAAATATTATTGATTCTGAGTCTGGTTGAGATGAGAATGATATGAAAAAGAAAGAGAAAAACAGAGAATGGAAAAGCTGATGGAAACATGAGGGTGAGAGAATGGATGATGAATTAGGAAGATGAACAGGACAAGGCGTAAAAGCTGGTGTCTACCAAATGGATGATAATGTTGATGAGGGTGAAAAAGATGAAGGCAGCACGGCGAACAAGAGAGAAGAATTGATGAAATTGGTTAGATTTTGATCAATCGCACGGAAAAAGGAAGAAATTTGGATTCAACATTTTTTCTTTTTCGCCTTCATTTTCTTTATTTTTGCCTCTCCAATGGAAATGGACTTAAAAGATTGACAATCAAAAGATGAAGCGAAAGAGAGAGACAGAGATAAGAGTGAGATGATGGAAACTGTTAGGAGCCAAATAGGATAGTAAATAACAGTTCATGTAACTGGGAGTGAAAATAACAGGGAATGAAGAAGGTTAAATAACAGATAAAGTATCAGAATAAATTGGCTTGAATCGATGTTTTATTATTATCCATTCTTGTTTCTGTTGTCATTGTTTTACCATTCTCATTTAACAAGGAATCAAGTAACATAATCTGACAAATTTAATTCTAATTGATTACAGTTTGTGTATTTTTAATGATATCTTTTTCCTCCTCACAACCCTTTACCTCTTTCAACCTTTCTAGCTCTGGATCATCTGCATTTTCGCTGCATAATTGTAATGCTGGATAATTGAAATTATTCATTTTTAGTCAAAATTTCCTCTCGAAAGTTTTCCATCCATTCAGCATTTAACAATTTTTTTGACGAAACTTCGACTTTCTCAGCTTTTAGATATTACATGAAAGTTTTAAGAAAATGTGTCAAATGCTTGTAAGTATTAATAGAATCCTCTTCTTGGCTGTTTCGGTCAAACGTTTTTGTACTATTGGATCGACGAGAAAATGACATTTTTTCGAAAAATAAATTCATTTATAAACGAAAAGAATCAGAAGTTTTCGAAGAAAAGTGCAACTCAAATGTTTGCAGAAACTTTTGGTGAACCAAAAAGATTGAAGTTTACATGCGCCTGTGCTTTTACCTTGACGACTCGAGTTTCTGCCCAACTCTGAGTTCTTTTTATGAATTTTTGCCTAAAATATCATTCGCACATTTAGTCTGTGTTTGCAATGAAAAGACTTGTTATTTGATTACTTGAGGCTAACTGATGTGCTGTTCATGAGAATCTTAGAAAATTTCAAGATCGTTGATTTTTCTTTTTGACTGCTTTTGCTGTAACACACTTAAGATGGGTTCAAGGCACACTTAAGTTTTAGTTTGGGTTCTTGCCAAAGATGATCTGTGTTGCTTGAACGCAATTTTGTATCTATTTATGTTTGGCTATTGAAGAGTCTCGATATTAATGAATTCATATCGAAATGGAAAATTTTGTTCACATGAAAAGAAAAAGGTTTGAATTGAAAAAAATTGGTTTTAATCTAAATGTAAAGCTCTTTCTCTTTCATCATTGTCTTCAACATGTTTATCATCTTTTACAGCTTCTCCTGTCAGAAGAGAAGAAAAAAACTTTTTTCAGATTAAAGATGATGATGATTGTGGTTACGCTTTTTTGCATCAATTTATCCCATGTAAAACCACATTGGAAACAGCTTAACTCATGGTAAAAGAAGAGCTAAACAAACAGAAAATTTGCTCTTCTCTCTTCATTTGATCTGCTTTTATCGTTAAAATGACTTAATTTTATCACCATGAAAAGTCATTATAAACTCGAGACTTTTCAATTTTCAATTTTTGCTCTCTTTTAGATCAACCTTTGAAAACGATTAAAGCAAGTCAACATTTTAATCTCAACTTTTTTGCTTCAGAAGAAAAGTTAATCTCTTATTACTGATTAAGCAAAAATCATGAAAATGTCAAGTTCTTTTGAACTGAACAAAACAGGATAAAAATGTAGACTAAAAGGAATAGTAAAAATATCAACAATCGAATCGTGTCAATAAAAAATTCACCTAATTGTATTATCTAAAGATGAGTGAGCAAATTATCTGAAAGATTGAAAAATAAATATTGAAATCGAAGCAGAAAAAAAAGAAGTTGAAAGAAAATTTTTTTTCTTATCTCAACATTTTTACCATTGAAACATTTTCCTTTTCATTCACATTTCCATCATTTTCAACTTTAACAAAGTCTGTAAATATTGATTCAAAAATGGATATAAAATGAACTTTTCTTTTCCTTTCCAGAATAATATACCTTGAAAGGAGAAGAAAAACGTTTCAATTTTATTTTCAACATTTTTTCTTTATCCATTTCATTTAGAAACATTTCCATAACACTCAATGTTTGCACAGTTTTGCATCTTGATTATGAATGAAAGCAAAAAAATGATTCAAAAAAAGGTTAAACTTGTAAAGTTGATAAAGAAAAGGTAAAGTGGATAAAAAATCGAAAATTTAGTTTTCGATGAAATGGCTTGGAATCGAATCAATTTTTCATCAATTAAACTTGATTCACCGATATTCAGAGAAACATGATGAATGAAACTTGAAATGTTGAAACAATTGGAAAAGATGTTATCATTTGTGTGAAAAGATCAATCTTTACATGAATAGACTCGTCGAGTAATCAATCTGATGTGAACGCTGAAACGCAAAAGTCAAGGAAAAAAGTTTCGAAGTAATCTCAATGATGATAGTAAAGGTTTTGAAACGTTGGATAAACTGTGTTTGAAAGGATAAATACTCTTGACAATCTTTGTCTTAGCTTGATTAAACTGGTAAAGTTGAGAAAAAAAAGTTTACTCAAAGTTGATGAGAAACTTGAATGGATAAAAGATGATAAAAGAAGAGATTTTTTGTCTTTTTTCTTCTTTTCTTTTCATGCATATTTTTGCAATTTAAAATTAAATGTCAACATTTTTGCAACACTTTTTATCATCGTTATAATCACTCGGTTGAACCCTCTCTTAACTAGCTCATGGTTTATCACTTTAATCGCAATTTTGATATTTTTCGCTTTTTTCTTTTCTCATCTTTTTACATTTAATAATGATCAAGATGATCAAGTTGATTAGTGAAGAGAGGTTGCTTTGCTTTCCAACCAACTTTCACTTTCAAGTTAAATGGAGTCAAGAAAATTTCCAAAATCGTTGGCCAACATTGAAGAGATTATGATTGGTCAAATGAAGTGAAAATTGAACAATATTTCTTCATTCACAGTTCACATTTTGCGCCATTTTTTCAATCGAAATTTTCCAAAAAAAAATTTCTCTTGGCAAAGATTTTTCATGATTGGCTCACTAAGCATCAGATGGACATGAGAAGGATAATTTGAAAAAAGGCGATATCCTTTTCTCTGTACAGGGAGTTGTGGTTTGTAAGGTTCAAGCAATCACTTTTCTAATGGTGATAAGATGAAGCTGCTGTCCATTAAAATATTGTGTCTTTGTTATTATTTTGTTTCTTCCACAATCTTTATCGATATCTTTCTTATCAACATTTAGGTGAATAATTGCTTCAACTTTAATGGTTGAAACACTCTTTAGATGAAAAAGATCAACATTGTTTAAGTTGAAACATTGATCTCTCCTTGAGAGTTGATAAGTAATTGAAATGATGAAATGTTAGTTAAGCAAATTGTTTCAATCTCGACTCTTTGAAGGAAAAAGTGGATTTGAGGGCAAAAAAGGCATTTTCATTTATTCTGCTTCTAATCATTTGATGGCCAAAGGACTGTAATCAGTTCGTGAGAGGGTGTCATTTGAGAAGACAGAATTGAGAAGATGATAGTTTATGTAAAGAGTTTTTTTCTTTGTTTTTGGTGCGAAAATTTATCGAGAAACTAATTTTTTTAAGAGAAAAGAAGATGAGGAAAAGAGAAAAAAATTGGAGAAGATGAAGGTTTTGTAGGCAACTTTTGTGCGAGTTAAGGGAAGAAAAAAAGAGTTGCTAAAGAAATGGATGATGAATGAGCTGGCTGATAATGAAAGGTGCATCATTTTAGGAGGATGATGGGGATGATGAAAGGGGACAATTTCGTTCAAGACAAGAAACTTTAACGAGAGCAACAATGTTGTTTCTGTTGTTGCTGAGGATGTTGATGGAGATGGAGATTGAGTGAACAAAGATTGATGCAAAAATAAGCTGATGCTTGCCTTGAAGAGCAAAAAAGCTTGAATGAAAGAGAGAGAGTGGAAAAAAGAGAAAAATTCTGTTCCATCAAAGAGCAGCAAAAAGGATGAATAAAGATTATGCTGGAATGAAGAGAATCAATGATGAGAAGAAAGTGAACCTGGGATTCAACCAAAGTAATCAAAAGATTAAATGTTAATCGAAGTAATTGTTTGCTTTTCAAATGTCGTTCAATTTCCAAATTTTTTTGCCAAATTAACTTTCGATTGAAAAGTTTATTTCATTTCAACCATTCTGAACACTTTCAGTTTTGCATTCATCTTTCTTAAATCCTTTTTTTCAATACAAATGCTCTCATTGTAAAACAAACGATTGCGATTGTAAAACAAAAGCTGATTATTTCAAAGTAAAGGGCAATTCATGGTTAATTTTATCGTTAAAATTGA